GTGGACTCCACCCGGTTCTATACCAAAAGTATTGGAAAGAGACTAGCAAACTTCTCATAAAATTCTGCCAGGATTCCTTCTCAGGGAAAAAAAATGCTTAAAAGTATGAATAATTCATTAGTCTGCCTAATTCCTAAGAGTGAAAATGCTGAAACAATTAGACAATATAGACCCATTAGCCTTTGTAACACGGCCTATAAAGTTGTCACTAAGATTATCGCAAACCGCATTAAAACACTCCTGCCCACCCTTATCCATCCTACCCAAACTAGCTTTATAAAAGGAAGAAGGGTTGCGGATAATGCTCTAATCATTAATGAGGTACTACATCACTTCAAGAATACTAAAGGGAAAAAGTCAAAAATGATGATTAAAATAGATTTGGAAAAGGCATTCGACAAAATAGAATGGTCCTTTGTCCGATTTTCCCTAAACTCCCTGAACTTCCCTCCGGACCTTATAAAACTCATTATGTCCTGCATCTCTACCACCTCAACTGCTATCCTTATTAATAGATCTAGAACGGAGTTCTTTGAACCATCTAGGGGTATCAGACAAGGGGATCCCCTATCCCCATACATCCTTATCATTTGCATGGAAATGCTCTCTAGGTTAATTGACCACGAAATTGACTGTTGTAGATGGACCCCAATAAAAATTAACCCCAAAAGCCCGGAACTCTCACATCACTTCTTCGCTGATGATCTCATTCTCCTAGCTGAAGCCAACCAAAAGAGCTACAACTCTATCATAGACACTATCAACAAGTTTTGCAACGCTTCGGGTCAATCTATTAATTTTGATAAATCAAAAATTGTGTTCTCAAAGAATACTCCTATAAATCAAAAAGACCATATCAGCAGATGCTTTTCTATGAATTATACTGAAAACTTCGGGAAATACCTAGGCTTCCCTATGCCAAGCACTAACCCCACTAAAAAGGACTTCCAGTTTATCCTGGATAAACTAAACAATAGACTAACAGGCTGGAAAACAAAATTCCTAAGTATGGCAGGTAGGACAACCCTTATAAAAGCCACCCTAGCCGCAATCCCGAACTACGTCATGCAGATTTATGACCTCCCCAAAACAATACTCAACAAGATTGACTCAATTCAGCGGAATTTCCTCTGGGGTAGCACGGAGGAAAAGAAGAAATGCCACCTTGTAAAATGGAGTATAGTTACAATGCCTAAAAAACAAGGGGGTCTAGGAATTCCTAACACCCAAATGAAAAATTCCTCCTTCAATGCAGCTCTAGCGTGGAGGTATAGAGAAGAGAAAGAAAGCTTATGGGCCAAAATTATACATAGTAAATACAATCACAGGAAAATCATGAATATAGGCTCCCACACGTGGAGAGTTATTAAAAAGGGTAATAAAATATGCAACGCTAACACTAAATGGCTAATAGGTGATGAAAAAACCATAAATCTTTGGCATGACAAATGGATTAATCAATCAGGAACTCTTAGGGAATCCATCCAAGGACCCATACAAGCTGGGGAGCTTGATCAAAATCTATTCCGCCTCATTGAAAATGGAAAGTTTGACCTCAGGAACCTATCCTTCGAACTCCCCCCGGGCATAGTCTCCAAAATCAACTGCACATACATTAAACAAACCGGACCCTTTGGGGACTCATAACTTGGAATTCTAAAAATCACAACTTCTTCTCAATCAAAGTTGCATATGAAGCTGTCTCGGAATCCACGGGCAATCCTAAAAACTTAGCCTGGATTTGGAAAATAAACTCTTTAAATAAATTGAAATTCTTCCTGTGGACAATTTTTTGGGATAGACTACCCACCAAAGAGATGCTAAAAAAGAGAGGGATTTGCCACGAAGACACTTGTAATATTTGCAACAGGGAGACGGAGAGCATAGAGCATATCCTCTTCCGATGCAACTACTCTAGGCAAATCTGGCATCAAATCAATTCAAAACACCCCTTCTCCCAAAATCCCAAGGGAAAAGACACTCTCCATAATTGGCTTAAGAATAAACTCCTATCGAAAGCTTCTTTTGATAATTACCTTCGTTGGGCAGATTTTTTCCCATTCCTCTTATGGCATATATGGAACTTTAGAAATGGAATCCTCTTTGGAAAAAATAAAGCACCCATTAACAAATGCCAACCCATCAGTAGGGCCATTGAATTCCTCTACATGGCTAAAAACAATTGCTTAAAACCTGTAAAGGAAACTATTTATGTAAAATGGGAACCACCCAACCCAAATTACTACAAACTTAATATAGACGGCGCCTGCGTGGGCAACCCAGGAGTGGGAGGAATAGGAGGAGTGTTTAGAGACGAAAGGGGGAATTGGATTTTGGGTTTCAATATGGGACTAAAATATGCCACCAACATCTACATGGAAATTCTAGCCCTCCTTCACGGAGTCAAACTAGCACTAACAAAGAAGCTCCTCCCACTGGTAATAGAGACGAACTGCTTGGAATTATTAAATCTCCTAAAATCTAACAACTGTCTCTACCAAAATTTAATTGATGACTGCAGGTACCTATTACGGATGGCGAATGATCCTCAGCTGAAGCACATCTTTAGAGAGGCTAATGGAGTAGCGGACCTGTTAGCTAAAAATGGTTGCAGCCTGGACACTTTTTGTACTTTACAAACTTTTGCTGTTCCGCCTGTTGTTACTTTCCATGTACTAAAAAGAGACAGTCTAGGCACTATGTGGCCTAGACAGAGTTCTTGTTGTAATAACTCTTAGTTTTTGATGAATAAATCTTTTATTACCAAAAAATAAAAAAAGTATAACTAACATGGCAACATCCTTTTGTAAATTTTTGTTAAATTTATTTTTCACATTTAACCAAATTAAACTCAATATTTTACAATTAGCCCAACCCCCTTCTATTGCTGATAGCTGCTCTAAAAAGTGCTAATAAAGGTTGTAGCTTTTTTTTTTCTTACCGTAGACTTTTGTTTTCCTTTCAGACAAATGCATAACACGAAAATTCTTTCTTTCTTATTTGATATATTTCTTTAGAATATAAACTCCAATGAGTTCCTGAAAGGCTGAAACCCAATTGAACGTTCATGATTTATTACTTGCCTGTTCTAAACTAAAGCAAATATTGGCTAATCTTTTTTTTTTTTTTGCAGGAAAAGGTTTGATTCAATAAACATAAAAAATTATATGATATAGTTGTTTTTGTTGTTGTACGAAATTAATAACGCTAATTTACGTATAAAGATAATATTTGATCTTTTTATTCTGCAAATTACGTTTGCAAACTAAAGCGTGCTAAGGTTCCTCCGTGAGAAAAAATTGCAAACCGAAGATATTAGTTACTTCTTCTTATAAATGCATGTATTTGGGCAGTGAAACTTCTTTTAAAAAGAATTAACATATGTTGTTGTTGTTGTTAAACTTAGGAGGAGCTCAAGTGGTTTAGGACTGATTAACATTTTATCATAAACTACCACATATATATAGGGCCGGAAAAAGAAGCTTTAATTACCAAAAGATTCACAGAGAAATAAGTATTTAAAAAAAGGTAATTCCAGATAAGATAAAGCACATTAGATATTTATAGGTCAGGGTGGCTTAAGGGGAGGGCTAGTAAAGCCTTTGCTTTAGGCCCCCTAAATTTTGGGACTCCAAAATATTTTTAGTTGTGGATTTGCTATCTTATTTTTGCTTAGACGATATTAAAATTTATAGAAAAGAAATACTAAATACTTATAAAAATGGAAAGAAAGACTATCTATTTAAAAAAAAATATATTTTAGAACTTTAAATTAAGATACTCAAATCTTCATATCGATAAATAATGCTTTCTTACAATAAGATCCAAGGTAACGAATTGTAAATACGTGGCTAACATCTTATTAACTTGAATTTCTTACCAATGTTAATATTAATATTATATTTTATAAGATAACTACACTATAGACAAAAGAAAGAAAAATAAAAAAGGAACCAATGTAATATTAATTTTATATTTTGCAAGATAACTATACTATAGACAAAATAAAATAAAATTAAGACCCTTTATTAAAATTTGGCTTTAGGCCATGAGTTTTATTGATACGCCTTTATTATAGGTCAAGAGATATTTTATACATTTTCCTTAGAAATTATTTATTAAAATAAAAGCTAGGGATCTGAAATAATAATTGAAGCTAATATTTTTATTAATGAAATGAAATTGGAGAAGCACCAAGTTGTATCCATAAAAAATGAGAGAGGCGTAGGAGTTTTGAGGGGTGGTTGGTGTAAAAGTGAAAAGTGATGGGTTGATAGAAATTTGGGCCCCACAAGTTTCACATGCAGATTTTTTAGACAGAGTCAATATTTTCGTGGAGGTGGATTTTCCACGTGTACTGCTGACATCATCAGCTTTTAAGGGTAGGTAAAGGTACTCAAAGTTGGCTATATTTACAAACATTGATTAGGAAAACTAAGAAAATAAATCAAACAGCTTCGGCATTTGCGTATCTTGATAAAGAGCTTAAATGTTGCAATTACAATAATACCCTTTTTTACCTGAGTAAACCGGACGCAGCTCTCATTCTGCCTTATTAATAATAGGAAAGTAATGTAATATAATTTAAATTTTAGTTCCAGTTTTTTTTTTAAATCATTTTGCTTTTCTGTGAAACTAATTATGACTAATTTAACACAATTGAATACTAAAAATTCCGTCTGATAATTTAAGAATTTGCTTTATGAGGTACTCACGGTGAAAGATCCAAAATTTTAAAATCATGAGTGCTTAACTATTTTTAATGGAGTTGCTAATACTCATATAAAGACCCGTGCACCCATTGCGTTTCTGAGAATTGGGTGCCGGATAACTCTACGTGCAATATTTTAGTATTATTTTCTGTGCAAATATGTGTTCGGGTCAAAGAGATTAGGTGCTAAGCACCTACCGTGGTGTATTTTGATATGAACAAATCTCATACATGTAACATATAAAGAAGAACTCTATATAATAATTCAGTTTTTAGGTACATTGTATATTTTTCTTTTAATAAATCAGTCTCAATAAACCTGCTTAATTACGTTATAAAACACGTGACCTATTAGATCACAAGATTTTTAATTTGAAATTGGTTAATCTATTCCTTCACCTACCACAGCACACATGTTACCTAATATTTGTTTTTTCAGTAGCTCGTCATCATTCTTTAAAAAAAAAAAACAAGCTTTTAGATTTAGAGATTGAGGTCGATGCTAGACATAATTTTGACCATTACGAACAAATAATAGAAATATTGGTCCACAAAGCTACATTGTACATAGTCCTGAGGCTTCTCTTTCTCCCCTTCATATTTTTCTTCCTCTCTCTTCTTGCATTTTTCTGGCTGAAAACAAATCAATGACTTTAATAGTCGAACCACAATGTCCTTGAAATCCATAAGCCATCAGCAACATTAACCGATTTGGTTTTTTAAAGTTGACCTATAATAACAGGTAACTCTTCAGATCAAGTATGATATAATAACCTAGAAAATCAAATTATAACCTGCTATGCCTAATTAAATTAACCGATTCAGTTACATTAACGGTGCATATAACGTAAATATTTTTTTTCTTTTGGAAGGGAAGGATGGGCATATACCTGTTGAGTCTCTTAATCTTTTAATTTGATCCCATGCTCAGGTACATTCCATGCACATATTCATAATGATAATGCTATATAATTGAGTTGTAAACATACCTGCTTTAATGCCTAATGAAGCAAATAAGGATAAAAGCAACCTACTATGCACAGTTCCTTAAATGGAATAAAGAACCAATTAAGCAGCAAGCATTATCAAGGTAAAATCCAAGGGTTCCACCAAGCTCTCCCTGTCCAAAAATCAAATATTTTTCTTTAGTGAAAAATTAGACTATTGTAAGTCACATGTTCTGCCTTTCTTGTGAAGGGGTTGCTGGAATTAATCACAAGTAAGTCGAGTTTCAGATCTTGAATAAAAGAGTAAAGTTTTCACCTAAAAGAAAATTTACAGTTTGTTAATATAAAACATTTGTAAAGAAGCAAAAAAGGTAAAGCTAGGAATCAGGATGGAGAGAGTATTAACAATATCTGACCTCTTGGAAATGTAGAAGTTGTAGTCTCAAAAGGGTTAAAATATCTGTGACCCCAACTTGACAGCAAACTAAAAGGCCAAAAGGAATTAAGCTGAGTCCAACCCCATATTAGAGGATTCCTCATGTTCTCCTCTTCTTCTTCTTCATTAAATTCATTTGTGTATCCATGTTGATCTTCATTGTTTGAGAAACCTTCGAGCTGATATCGACAAACCGGACAAGTATTATGCATTCTAAGCCATGGAACAATGCATTCTGAATGATAAAAATGCTTGCAAGGAAGTTCTTTAACTTCTATCCCAACTTCAAATTCATCTTTACAAACAGGACAAACAGAGTCATTTTCCAAATGGTTTGCATTGAGTACAATTCTTGGCAATGCATCAATTGCTGAAGATGGGGCTGGAGGCGGCCCTGGCCTATCGTTATGAGTCAATTCTTGAATGAAAGGCAAAGGAAGCGCGTTGTCATGAGGAGAGACAGGCCTAATAGGTTGATCATCAGGGCCTATAAATTGGAGAATGACACGAGCGCGTTGTCTAGTCTGATGATTTTGATCAGTATTATTGTTTTGTTGTCTGATTGATGGATCAGTCATGAGTGCCAAGGCATCAAGAAGGCGAGAATTCGAGGATGGTTGTGGTTGTAGCCTTGTGACATCAGAAACTATTAGCCTAGGCCTTGTAACATCAAGTTCATAGTGAACTTGGCCAAAACAAGTAGGACATAATATTTCAAATGGATTGGCTGATGTTGTCCTGATTGATCTTTGGCAATGCCTGCACCAATAGTAATGGTATGTTCTCATTCTCTGGACTCCATTGACAATAACTCGAGGGCGATTTCGAGGGATCAATGACATGCTCTTTTTTGGGAAGAAGAAATGCTAGACAATGAGTTGCAGATTTTGACAAAATAGATGAAGGAAAGACAGAAATATAGAGGCTTTTTGGAAATGCTTTACATGGAGAGATTCTTTCTCCCCTGGATAGGATATTTCTACAGCTTCCTTAATCCTTCATGGCTCCTCCTACCAAAAGTAAAGTATAGTATTGGCATCATGTAATGGTGTTCTCGATTCTAAAATACGAAGAAACCCATTTTCAAGATTCCTTTTTGCCTTTAAATTTTGTTCTAGTATATTGGTAATTACGAATCTTGCCAGATGAATCATTAATTGTCATTTTAAAATGTTTGTAGAATACTTGTAAGAACAAGGAAAATATAGAATATACGAGGAATAACACGTTTTATTAATTTTAATGGGTTCTTATTAGTTGGGGTACTAATGGTTCGATTTGGCCGGTTATTTTATAAAATTTATACCATACTAATTTCTCGGTTAATTTATTTTGTATAACCAAAATTAAACTTTTTGAAACCGTGTCAATCATCTCAGTTTCTCTTCGGTATCGGTATCGGTACGGTCCGGTTAATTTTTTATATTTTTTTAAATGTCATGTTAGAGTCGCTAATAGAAGTTAAAACGCAATAACATGCATAGGACCTTGGCAAGATTCTCTAGGCATTTTTCTGTTTAAGAGGCGATGAATCTAGGGAACATGAAAGATAGTCAGAATAAAGGCATTTCACTATTCTATAGCAGCGTCACAAATTAAGCAAAGATGAGAGGAATATAAATTACCCGAGTAGTTAATGTTGGGACTCAGGAATAAAATCAATTAGAAGATTAGGTATTCTTATCATACTAGAGGAAAGACATCCGATACTTTATTGTTTGCTACTCAAGATTATTGGAAGTAGTGTGTTCCTCCTAGGCTTACCAGTATTACTAGGACTATTTTTATATTATCTTACTCATAGTTCTTTACTATTACGTGTTGTGTCATTCGCGCATGTTACCATAATACATTGTTGTTACTATTGTTTGCTACTTATTGCTTTATCTCCACTGTTCCTTGAGCCGATGGTCTATCGAAAACAGCCTCTCTATCTTTATAAGATAGGAGTAAGGTCTGCATACACACTACCCTCCCCATATCCCATTTATGGAAACACATTTGTTTTTTGTTGTTGTTGTTGTTGTTGTTGTTGTTTTATGGCTTGCTACTCAAAATGTTAGAACTAATTCAATTTCAATAGGAGTACCAGTATAGGTTTGGCAGTTACGACTTTAGGTATTATATGTTGGCTTATAGTCGTTTCATAATCCCAAGGCTTCAGGAAAAAAATAAATGCATCGTATATATGAAATATATCTTCCACATATAAATTTATCGGTACGGTTTGATATTTTTTCGGTTTATTTTTATGAAATCAAAAACCTACCCTATTATTCGGTACGATTGTAGATTTATATAAAACCTATTTAATTAATAGAAACTTAATAATCAAATCGATACAGTCGATTTTTAAAGATCCATTGACACCCTACTTGTTAGGTAATTTTCAAACTTGTATAAGCGCAATCAAGTACGCCATGACAACATTGTTGAGAATTTTATCTTTACGTGATATTTGTAAGATGCCAGATCATGGTAATCACTGTTTTGTATACTGAACTTCAGTATTAGAACTTAGATGTTGTTATAAATAGAATTATATTTAAGTTGAATGTTTTTATTTTAGAGAGATTTTAGGTTTTGTTACTTGGTGGCTAAGTCGCTTTTTCCGGGTTCTATTTTATTGTAATTCATCCCAAATTAATAAGAATTATCTCTCTACTTTTCTCTGTAATACTCTTCTTCTTCTTTTATTGTTTTATAACACGTTATCAGCACAAGACTCTAACCAATTGAGTAGAGGCACCTACTTTGGTCACCGGGCTTTGGGATAAGTGCATGGTGCGCAACTTGTACATAATATTGAGCATAATGATATTCAATTGATCCATGAACTTCTTTCGGAAATAATTCTGGATTTAAGGTAAGTATTTTACCCTATTTTTCTCTTTTAAATTCTTGAAATCCTATAATTTGATTTTAAATACAAGCAAAGACAATAAATTTTGATTATAACTCTAATAGAGTTTGTGAGAAATTATAACCACCCGAAGTGGTAAAATTTCTATGTCTTGCCATGATCAAATTCATGTATGATTATGAGCACAAGAAGTGGAAACCCTTCCCATTGAATTAGCTTCATTCTCGTTCCCCTAAGAGAATGTGGTAGCAATATGCAACAAGTCTGAAAGAAGACAAAATTATTACCGTGAAGGTATCAATGGATATGGATGTGACAATTGACGAAATTATAATCGTCATCATTGTGGTAACGAGAACAATAAGGATTCTCAAAATAATCTTTCACTCTGTGAAAGTAATGTTTGTCATCGATTTGACATGAGATTTTGTAAAGCACATATAGATGATTATGGTCCATTCATGATGTGAATATGACAACATCTGATTTATGAATACATATTCATTTTTGGAAGAATATGAATGTGCTGGTGGTAGTGGATATACCACACTAATCTCTAAAAAGAGGTTTGAGATGAAATAAGAAAATAATTTCATTTTTATGGCGTGAATGGTCATTGATCATGTATAGAGCCGTCAAAATGGCCTTGGCCCATGAGGCCAACCCAACCCAACCCGCTACTTGGGTAGGGTTGGGCTAGGATTTTTTGAGCCCATTTAAAATCGAGGCTTATAAACCCGACCCAAGTCAGCCGCTAGCCCTTGAGGTTTGACCGAGGCTGGGCCTGGACCAGGCCGTGGGCGAAAAATTAATTAGATTCAAATTAATTAACTATTAAATATTTAATATTTAAAAAAGTAAAAACTATTAACTATAATCTTCATTCCCCAACTCTAGATTGCTCATTTACCCTTTCATATCAACTAAAATTTAGATTTTTGACATGCATGTAATATGACAAGATTAGTTTTTTCTTTTCCTTAATTAATAACGAATTCGAAAAGTTTTAGGTGACCAATAATAATCTTTTTTCAAAAGAAAATATTACTTCAAGTGACCAATGATCAGTTTGGATTACTTTAAAATATTATTACTCCCTCCGTTCCAGTTTATGTGAACCTATTTTCCTTTTTGTCCGTTCTAAAAAGAATGACCCCTTTCCAAATTTGAAAATAATTTAGCTTAAACTTACAAATCTACCCTTAATGGGCATGGCTGGGCTAGGCTGGCCCGTTTTGACAGCTCTAATCACGTACCTATTGTGATTATGCCAAAATATTATGGCAATGTGATTAACTATTACGGGGCAAAAATAATAGAAGCAACATATCTTGCCTACAATGATTTTGATCATGACCATAATGGTATAACTTTCTCCTTGAAAGAGATATTCACCATATGAATTGTTTACCCTAAAAACAGATAACAATTGAATTTATACTGTGATTTTAAGGACACATGATTTACTTAGCACAAAGTGAGAGAACGTAAATCGACAATGAAATTAACTGCAAATATAAGTAAAGCAAATCGACTGATATGTGTAGCTTTGATCCTTGATCTAGGTTGCCCTCGAATCAAGTAAATATTTCGCCGGAAAGTATGAACAAAGTGACAAAAATTCGAGAGCTTAAGAGAAAGATAATATATTTTTTTCGTAACGTGAATATCATGATGAATACAAATGATCAGCTCCCCTTTATATAGTAGGGGAGTCCTACTTCTAATACAATTCTAAATATGGTAATAAATCCCATGATTAACTGATAAATCGGCCTCTCCTTGATGCATGCCGAGATTTCCGCCGTGATCCTCGCTCGATCGCGGATATCTCCGCTTTCCATTATTTTGTTCGACATGATTGCCTCGATCTTGCTCGATCTCTTTCCCGCTCAGTCTTGGTCTTGGCTGATCTCGATCTCGATCGGTCCCTTAGTCACGAGCTCGGCAATCTAACTTGTGTCACGATCCGATACGATATTGGATCTAACCTTGGCCTATCACGCCCCGATCTCGATTAGTCATAAAAAGGGGAAAGCCCGATTTGACCATATACGGATAGTCCTCTCATTTTTTGGAGAGTAATGACAAGAAACGATTTGAGCCTTCGATCTTCACCTTGATATATCATGACATAAGCATCATGATGTAAGAAGCAGGAGTAGCCGAAATGTCTCGTCGGTACAGTATCCCAGGCATTTAATGCGCGTCAGTCGACGGTCGGCCATTACCTGTTTTAAACTGTCATTGAGAAATTATAAATACCCTTCTTCTTCATTTTGCAAACTTTACTTTCAAATCTTCTTCACCCTAATCTTCAAAATCCTTCTTCCTCAAAGCTTTGTATTCTAGGATCTTTTGAGTTCCTTCGGATGTTTCATCGTAAAATTCCTAGTGCTTCTTCTCAGTTTCCATTTTCCTTCACAAAAGCAAAATGGCTAAGACTTCATAAATAGTTTCGCAAAAGGGAACCTCTTCTTCATCAAGGCTCGCCGGTGACGGAACTGTGGCAGAGCCTCCCCTAGAGGACTTCGTTCCGACAAAGTGCCCTACTGCAGCCGAGTTCAAGGTGGAGAACGCACCCTCGATACCGGGTCATTGCGAACCGATGTCGAGATACATATGCACAATTACCGTCGATCTCCTCGACCAAGTTATAATGACTTGCAACTGGGTTGACAAGCAAATGGTGGTGCCCTCGCCTGAGGAATCAATCACTACCCATGTGGAAGGGTTTTTAAGTGTTTACACTTATCCTTTCACATTAGGTCCTTTAGACCCATCATTGTTGCCTTCTGCAAGAGGTACAATGTGACCCTTGGCCAGATCCATCCGTCATTCTTGAGGATCGTGATCCTCCTCCGATTTTTCGTAAGCAAGATCGAGGGGCATCATTTTACCCTCGATCACCTTATGCGTCTCTACAGTCCTCGGCTTTATCGAGGAGGATTGATCAAGCTTTACCGCCGAGCCACCAAACCCCCATTCTCGAGCATAGACGAGACTCGAGACCAAGGTTGGATGGGTCGATTTGTCCGAATAAAGACTTCGGACCTGATCCCAGCCGGAGACATGCCGTTTCCTGAAAAATGGAACATGAATCGTAAGTATTGATTTGCCTTGAATAACTAACTTTGCCGTTTTTACTTCTCACCCTCTTTCCTCATCTGAGTTTTTTGTGTTGTAGCTGTGGCCCACGTGCCGGAAGTGATCCCCGATCTTGAGCAATGGGTCAAGGGCCTAGTGTCGCAGAGGTCATACTCCGAGCGTACTTGGATGGAAATATCGAAGGGCCAATGGGAGGCCCGTAACCATGGTAATCTTCTTTTCTTAGAACAATTTCCATTCGAGCTTTGCATTGGACTTACTCATGCCCCAAAGCAAGCCAAGAAGAAGAAGAGAAAAGGGGCTCCGAGCTCGGAAAAGAAAAAATCGGTGATGAGGCCCCGTAAACCCAAGGGGAACGTCATCCGCCTAACTATGGAGTCATTCAAACAACTGAGGGATGAGGCTGAAGAGGAAGAAGAAGAAGAAGACTCCAGGTTGGTGGCCCGTGTGCGAACTGGCACCGAAGCTCGAAGAACTACCGGGCTGGTGGGAGCTGAAACTGCTTTGCCTCATTTTGACAAAGTCCTCGAGCCGGAAAGAGCTGAAGATGCTTAACCTCGAGGTGAGGAGGCTACCGAGGAGGCGGCTGGAGCTGGTGTAGAAACCATTCTCAAGGTTTCCCGAGATGAATGTGGAACCCCAAAAGATTTACTTGGGGCAATAGAAATTAGAGATTCCCCCTCGTTGCCTTCGTTCTCTGATTCGACGATCAAGGATGCTCAGGCGATGGAGAATTGCAACGGTGAAGGTATCTATGAAGCAGAAGACCCTTTTCGTGGCTATTTTTCTGGAGTGGAAGATGTCACCGGTCTGGGTGACCTGGATGTACCGAGGAACGGCTCAAGTGAGGCTTCCTCGAGCTTTAAACTGACCAATCAGTTTTTTGCCCCCAGTGTCGATCCCGAGCGTAAGCGATCATTTGTCATCTCGGTCCCGGAGGATGCTCAGGTTCTTTCTGCCCCCGTAGGGGTGGCTAGCTATCTTCGATGCTTGGTTACCGAGGAGGACCAAGCCAAGATGGATGAGGCGGAAGTTGAGTGTTTGTTCAACGAGGCCCAACATGCTCTGAATCGGGTAAGTTCGCGGGCTATTCCATTATCTTTTTAAAACTTTGAGTTGTAACACCCCACACTTAAACCATTGCTCGTCCTCGAGCAATCAAACTACACTTTATTTAGATACAACCTTACTAAGAAACTCTCCTAACTCATTACACCAAGAATATTTAAAATAGACTAATTCACCTCAAGATTTGAATCATAAGTACCACGCATTATTCACAACTCACTCACTTACTCTAACACAGAGGTCAATGATATCAATTACTCTAACACAGAGGTCAATGATATTACCTTTCCTTCATGAATCATGTGCCCTCACACAACAAAAGAGAGTAGTTCCACACACAATAAAAATTAAGAACAATCAGGAACTCAAGATAGAAAGAATTTACTCACTCTCAGAAACAACATTCATATGCCACAAAAGATTAACCATAGGCTTGCCCGTAGTGTACTACTCTACTAATTTGAGATCATTCAGTCAAGGATCAAGTAGGACTTTAATTGGTTGTAATGTAAGCTGCAGGACGGGTAGGATATATTTAGATATAAGAGTGACTACACCTCCCTAAGCACTTTAATACAAACATTTTACCTTTCAAAACCCCACACTTATGTTAAACCATAACTCCTCCTTTACATCAATATACATTAACTCCTTACTTCTTTAAATACAAATACATCAAGAGATACCACTTATCAAAAATATTTTGCACAATAATACAACTATATTTTTTCTTTTCTTATTCAACTCAAGTGGCTCTTACTTTTTCAAAACAATGCACATTTCTCCTATTTCAATTGTTCCACTCAAAATCTAAACCAATCACCCCACACTTCATTTTTACAAAGTTCATATCAAATTCAAGTGCTCAAGAGAGGAAAGGTTCAAATAGATGGGCAATTCAAACAAATGGGTAAGGCTTGCAATGTGGTTGCCAAAAAAAATAGGATTACATGCTCAAAAGGGTTAACTAAGATACATATCAATTAGGTGGGCAATAACATATAACTGGCTCAACAAAGAAATGCCTATATCACTTCCAAGACTGACTAAAACTACTATTTCGCTTTGCAAACACACAGGACAAGTTCTAGACATGAAATGCAATGCACAGAATAACACAAAAACCTCTCACACACATGGCACATAACTCATTCAGGATTGAACTCATCACGACACTCTAGTCAAAGCACTTAAGCAAAGTTAAGATCATACAATTTAAGGTTCTCATACAAGAGTCAAAAACTGAGCCTAAGCATCACACTAAAGCACTCATTATTCTCAAGGCATAACAAAGTCAAGAGATATTGCTTCAATTCAAATCATAGCACAAGGTTTCCTACTTCTAACAAAAATAAAATCTAACTACACCCGGTTCAAACAAAACCCTTGAAAAAGAACCGCGGCACAAAGAAAAACCAAGGGGAATTGATACACTACCTACAAAAGAAAATCTTTTTGGTCTTTTTCTTTCGACTTTCTCTCTCAAGAAACCTGTCGAATGATCCATCGTCGGGAGAAATCAAAAATTTTAAAATGTTTTTTTCTTCTTTTTTTTCAATTTTTTTTCCTACTATTCAAACTAACAAAAGCAAAAACAATCAAGCTAATTAAAGCAAACACTAAGACTAATCTACATACAACATACAAATATCCCCCACCTCACACTTTAAGTTGTGGCATGTACCCATGACACACAATTAAAAAACATAGGGTAGAGGAAACTTCCCTGAATCTCTAATCGGGGTCTGAATCAAAGTCGGGCTCCATTCCACGTGCCCGAACTAGTGCACACATCCATGCGAACAACTTCTTCTCAGCCTTCTTGGGGTACACCCCACACTTGTCTTTCTCAATCACCGGGGCCTTCTCTTTTGGGCTCTTCACTTTCCACTCAACACTTGAAGCTCGCTTCTCCCATTTCACCCCCGTTTCTACATTCATCTCGAAAGTTACGGTCTCATCACCCACTCTCAGCATGAGTTTTCTATCATGTATATCTAATATTGCTCTACCCGTTGCTAAGAATGGTCTTCCTAAAATTAGGGGGACCTCCTTGTTCTCCTCCATATTCACCACTATGAAATCTACAGGAAATACAAACTTATCCACCCACACCAACACATCTTCTACTATCCCCTCAGGTGTTATGGTTGTTTGATCGGCCAGCTGCAAAGATATAGGCACCGACCTTATCTCTCCAATCTCCTTCTCCAGTTTCCTGTAAATAGAAAATGGCATTAGATTGAGGCACCAGAATCACATAAAGATTTATCAAAATTAAGAGTGCCTAAAGAGCAAGGTATAATAAAACTCCCTGGATCTCCATACTTTTGTGGGTGTTTATTTTGCAATATTGCACTGCAATGCTCTGTGAGTTTGACCACTGAGGTCTCTTCTATCTTTATCTTCTTTGTAAGGATCTCCTTCAAAAACTTTGCATATGCTGGCATTTGTGAGAGAACTTCAGTGAATGGCAGGTTTACATTAACCTTTCTCAGCATGTATAAAAATCTCTCGAATTGCTTGTCCAGCTTTTCTCTATAGAGCTTTTGGGGGAAAGGTAGAGGAGGCATGTGCTTTCTCACATCATCAGATTCCTCCCTTCTTGAAGCTTCCTCTTTCTTCTTTTTGTCAGCTCCCTTTTTGTCTTTCTTTTTCTTATCATCTTCAATTTTCAGCTGCTCCCCACTTTTTTCAGGTGTCACCTCTTTTTGGACTGGAGTGGGTTCTTTCAACACTTGCCCTCTTCTCAAGGTCACAACATTTACCGTTTATTTGGGATTTCTCTTGGTATCAGTAGGCAGAGTACCTGGGATTCTCTCAGATAAGATTGTTGCTATTTGTCCCACTTGCTTCTCTATATTGAGAATTCCCACCCCATGAGCATCTAGCCCCTCATCTTTCTTGACAGTGAAAGCTTTTATTAGATCTTCTAAAACAGGTTGATTTTGCTGTTGAGGCTGAAACTGCTGCCTCTGCTGATTTTGGAAGCCTGAAGCTCCTTGTCCCTGAAATCTGGGGTTGTTTTGTTGCTAAGCATTTGCAGTACCCCCAGGTGAACTCCATGAAAAACCAGGGTGCTTCTGACCCATTGAATTAAAGTTATAATTACCAACAGCATTAACTTCCTCAATTGAGTCTTGACACTCATGAGTAGGGTGTCATCTTTCACATATGTCACATGCTGCATAAGTTTCATTATGTATTGAAGCTAAGGTTAGCTTCCTTATTTCCTTTGCCATGGCATCAAGTTGTACCTGTACAGATGTGTTAGTATCAACCTGGTGAACACCAGTTGATCTTCTTCTTTTAGCAATCTCTGAGGGCCACTGATTGTCATATTCAGATAACTCATCTAGAATAGTGACTATCTCCTCTGGAGTCTTCTTCATTAACGGACCTCAAACTGCATTACTCAATGTTCTTTGTGAGGTCGGTGTCAGACCATCCCAAAAGTCCTGGAGTTGCATCTAGAGTTCGATTCCGCTATGTTGACACTTTCGCACAATCTCTTTAAACCTCTCACATGCTTCAAACACAGTCTCAGTCTCCTTCTGGCAGAAGTTATGGATTTCTCTTCTAAACTTGCCCGTTGTAGCTAAGGAGAAATATTTAGAAAGAAGCTTGGAGGTCATCTCCTCCCATGTTCTAATTGATCCCTGGGGCAAGCTTCGAAGCTAGTGCTTCGCATCATCTTTTAGAGTGAAGGGGAATGCCCTTAAGTACACTGCATCTTGTGACACACCATTGTATTGAAAGGTGTTCATGATCTCCTGGAAGTCCATTAGATGATTGTTTGGATCTTCGTTTATCTTTCCTCTGAAGACACAGTTGTTATGGAGGGTTTGAAGCAACCCTTGCTTCAGCTCAAAATTGTTGACTACAACTGGAGGTGGTCTCACACTTGATAAACCTTGGTTGTAGACCGGTCTATCATAATCACCAAGTAGTCTTCCTTGGCCGAGAGCTGCTTTTCTGAACTGGTCTGGAACCAAAGGTTGATTCTGAGCTATTCTTCGAGCTCTCTCCTCCTCATAAGTAATTTGTGCATATCTAAGTGCTGCTTCTTCAACATCTCTTGCAGCTTTCTCTCTGAGTTGGGCTGCCTGTCTCGAAGCCAAATCAACATTATCATCATATCCCACCATCTTTTCTTTAGTTGAAGATTGCCCAACCGTCTCTATATTCACGGGGAGATTTCTTTTCTTCCTCAACTGTCGCAAATGTTTCTCAATTTCTGGTTCGTATGGTAGTAATTCCTTCCTAGAATATCGGAAGAAGATCGAGTCATGCACCAATCTAACCTGTAGCCTGCGCACAGTCCAAGAACACCCAAACGTAAAAAGAGAAAAATAAAAGAAAAAGAAAAATTCCAGAATTAGCGCTACAAACTATTTCAAACACTATTGATTGCCAATCCCCGGAAACGACGCCAAAATTTGATGAGCTTGAAACACACACTAAAATATGCTCGCTAGTCGAATATAGTAAATTATAATATCTTATCCACAGGGATTGGAGTTAAACAGTATTATCGTAGTTTGTAGCTAGACTGCTATCCAAGATGATCAACAATTGAGAGTTTTAATATTAAGACTAAAATTTACTAATTCTAAGCTATTGACTAATGACAAACAACGCAAGTAGAAGGTAAAGGAAGATATCAATTTGGGGAAAATATGGTTGATAAGATAGGTGCAAGACAATTGTTTGGGATTTAACTCTAGATAATTCACTTTTAATGTTCAAGTGAGTCTCTCGATTTCACCTTGTTATTAATTCAATAATTTAGTAAAAACTCCTCTCTCGATTAGGTCTCAACCTCACAAGATGAATTAATTTAAGATCGGTGAAGATATGCATGAATTCCTAGTGGATTAGTCTTTAGGAGAACCTCTCTCGGTTATCCTCCTAACTAAGTTTAATCAACAATTCAACTAGCCTCTTCCGACTACTAAGAAGAATTAATGACTTCAACAAATAAAATATAATGCAAAGATATCACAAGTTATACCTCTCTCGATTACCTGAACAAGTGAATATAGATGCAATGGTTAAAACATCCAAAATGATTTCAATACATAAACTAGAGTTAATTATCCACAAACAAGTATCAATACACCAAATCCATCAAACCCTGAAGAGAACTACTCCATGGATATGGAGTAATTCATCATAATAATTTTTAAGTTAAAGGAAAACATAAAACAATCCAAACCCTTATCTTGAGTAAGGATTGAATGATGAAATCCTTGTGATTTTGCTTCTCCACCTCCTCCTTGGCTTACTTAGGTCTAAGATGTGTCAAAAGTCCATAAAATAATATTTTTCCATGTATATATACCAAGTAGGGTCGGGACCAGACGAAAACACTTTTTTTCGCGCGAAATAGGACAATCACTCTGTAAATTTGCACAGGCGCGCCGCATGGGGCGGTGCACCATGCAGGGCAGTAGTGGAGAAGTTCAGAGAGCTTATTCTGACAGGTTGCAGGAAATTTCCACAAGCGCGGCGCGTCGCGGTAGTGGGAATTCGGGAACATGCAAAACATGAAAGATGTAGCCCTTTTAAATAGATTTCCAACAGTATATTGTGGAGCCCAAACGGATTTTTGAGCGAAAAGTTATGTGCATTTTACTAGACAATGCACAGTACGCCTGCTCGATTCTTCGTTTCGTTCTTAACTATCATCCATTGATCCCCGAACACGATCCCGGCTTAATTCCTTGGGCTTTTACTCAGACTTCAAAGCTCCACATCACTTGAATTCATTTCATAATATCTACATAGCTCGAATCACTCCTACATGGCATAAACACACAATTAGTGCAAAACACTAGCAATTAAAGCTCAAACTCTACTAAAGTGCAATAAATTGGAATGTAATATTCGACTAAAACATGATATTATAGCCTACCATCAGTTGTAGATAGTTCTAACATTTTCTTCCTCACTTGTAGGCTTCGATGTTGCATCATGAGGCCTTTCTTCAAATCTGAGAGGAGCGCAAGGCTGAGGTTCGGGGCCGCACTAAGAAATGCGACGATACCTACAAGCTTGCTAGTGAGAAGCTTCAGGTAGACTTGGTGATGGATCGAGATGAGCATGCTGAGATGGCCGTCCGAGTACTTCATGATAGTGAAGATGAGTTGGAAATAACAACTAACGATCTGATTCTGCAGGTTCGATAGAGGTTCGAACAGATCAAGGACCTCCAAAGGCAAATAGATAAAGTACGAGCCGAGGCTGAAGCGTTCAAGGGGTAGATGGACATCTTAGCTTTAGGAAAGGCGACCGTCCAAGCAGAGTTGGAGTCAGCTGAGTCTCAGCTTCGGGCTGCAAGGGAAAAGGCATTGGTACAGGCAAAGAAAATTGAGGAGCTTCAGTCCAATTTAGCCAACTTGTTCAAGGAGTCGAGGTGCCCAGATCTATGGCATCCACGACTAATAACAAGGCCTAGGCTAATGCAACCCAAACCAGGTTTGGGATGGTAAGGACCAATAATAAGCATTTCCCTCGATCGTTTCTAATTGATGGACCCTAAATGATCGAGTGAGGACCTGCTCAAACTCGAAATAAGGTAGCTCTTAGGCTTTCTAGTCGGGTGAGAATGGTCTATCGAACTCGAAGTAAAAGTAGCCCTTAGGCCTTTGTAAATTTTATATTTGGCCGATCTGGTCTTTGTAAAACGATCGTTTATATATATATATATATATATATATATATATATATATATATAAGGCTTTCTACCCTTTTCGGCTTTAAAATTTTTCCTTTATTTTATTGTTTGTATTCACAAAGGTTAGAGCGCCTTAGCACAAAATAATATGGTTGTGTTCGAGGGTTCAAACAAACCTTGCCTTTATTTCCCTTCTGGTTAAGGCGTTACCGGGGTTCGGTGTTACCGAAGTTTTCTCCCGAAAGTCTCCTAAGTTTAAGATTCTGCCGAGGGTTGCCTTTAGAAATGTTTGTGAAAGAATTTTTTCTTTTTTGAAGGCCAATTTTTGTTACAGATTTTAGACGTTTACGATCCGTGTTGAATTGGCCGTAGCCTTTTAGTTCGGGTGTAGCCCGGTGAGCTCGCTTTCCCGAGTTATCCAGGCTTGCCTAAGATAATAGTTCCCGAGTGGGTAGGCCGTAGCCTTTAAAATTCGAGGGTTACCTAAGAGGTCTTATGCCCTCGATGTTCAATAGTTCGATCTTTTTTGAGTTTGTTCTATGGACGGTAGTCCCCGAGTGAAGGAGTGATTATTCGAACTCTGGTTGAAATCGGCCCTTGGGCTCGTTTCCATAATAGATCGGAAGTATGGGGTTGTAAAGTGGAAATTTTCCCAAGACATTAAATAGTTGCAAGGAAATTACTTCTCTTTATTCTTGTCAAAAACAATCATACATGCGTACATCTTTTATGTCAGGGCTCGAGCAATCTATTTGGGCACGGTTCGTTCTGACCGTTTGGCCCTTACAACAAATCATACCTATTGAGACCCTTTCATTTCGAAATAATTTCCTTGCTAGAATAATTAAATATAATTTCCTTGCTAGAATAATTCAATATCCGAGGGTAGTCCCCCCCCAGTATTCGAGGTTGATTCTAGAGAAATCTCGGATACTATAAACATAGTCTTTGATATCGATTCGTGATCGGCCTCAATTCTAAGGTAGCACGATCCACTGTTGCCTCGTTAAAAACCTTGTCGAAAAACCCATTTGGGACAAAAACGGTTCAAGGGAAAAAGAGTGCAACGCGTGCTTTCAGATCTAAAGGTTTCGTACCGTTCCTCGTTGATAACCTACAAGTGTTAGTAAAAAAAAACATTGAAATGGGGTCGTACCTTAGCAGTAATATCGCTTGAGATGAGTTACGTTCCAATTATTCGGTAGTTGTTCTCCGTCCATCGTTCCGAGCTTATAAGATCTTTTCCCTGTGATCTCGAGAATCTGGTACGACCCTTCCCAATTCGGACCCAATTTTCCTTCATTTGGATTTCGGGTGTTTAACATGACCTTCCTCAGTACCAAGTCCCCGATATTAAAATATCGAAGGTTGTCCCTCCGATTGTAATACCTTTCGATTCGTTGTTCCTGGGCAGCCAATCGGACAAAGGCAGCTTCACGTCGTTCATCTAATAGCTCCAGGCTTGTATTCATGGCCTCGTCATTTGATTCCTTCACCGCATATCGAAATCTGATGCTTGGCTCCCCAACTTCAATTGGTATTAAAGCTTCGGCGCCATAAACCAAACAGAACGGGGTAGCCCCGGTACTGGACTTCAAAGTTGTGCGATATGCCCAAAGGACTTCGAGGAGGACTTCTCTCTATTTTTCTTTGGTGTCGGTCAACCTTTTCTTGAGGTTTTGTATTATGGTCTTGTTGGTCGATTCAGCTTGC